CATAGTTGACAATGTTCCACATCACATAATGTTTTAGATATCGTTGACAAGAGAATGTTCCACGTCACATAATGTTTTAGACATAGTTGACAAGAGAATGTTCCACGTCACATAATGTTTTAGATATAGTTGACAAGAGAATGTTCTATATCACATAATGTTTTAGATATAGTTGATAAGAGAATGTTCCACGTCACATAACGTTTTAGACATAGTTGACAAGAGAATGTTCCACGTCACATAATGTTTTAGATATAGTTGACAAGAGAATGTTCCACGTCGTATAATGTTTTAGTTATAGTTGACAAGAGAATGTTCTACATCACATAACGTTTTAGACATAGTTGACAAGAGAATGTTCCACGTCACATAATGTTTTAGATATAGTTGACAAGAGAATGTTCCATATCACATAATGTTTTAGACATAGTTGACAAGAGAATGTTCCACTTCACATAATGTTTTAGACATATTTGACAAGAGAATGTTCCACGAGAGTGGGTGGATTAACCTTCTTGACCTGAAAGTTTCTATTAGGTGTTGAATCATGAGGAATAAATGAAGAGAAAGCTTCTTATTGTTTCCAAAATGTATCCATATTGTTTAGTTCCCATGCTTTGAGATTTTTCAAGTGTATATATTTTTTAATATCCAAGTAACTGTAACCATAAGTGATTCTATAGGTACTGCTTGTGTTTTAGATTTAAAGGTATTCGTGAAGGAGGAGTTACTGAAAATGCATCATACTATGTCTTTACTCAAGCTCCAGATGGTGCCTTTGAAGCTTTTCCTATCCAGGAATGGTACAATTTTACTCCTATTCAGCGTTACAAACCTCTGAGTGCAGAAGAGGCTGAGGAAGAGTTTAACAGGTTTGTAAAAATACATAAAAGGACAAGATGAAATTAGTTGTTTTTCTATCATTGTTGTTTTGGTATATTGCTGTATGAGCAAATACAACTGTTTTAGAAGTCAATTTACATTGACAACAATTGATACATGTGCACTGACTTTATTGTTACTTCCAAGTCCGAAGAGCAGCAACACAATGTCACATTTCCACCCATTGTGAGGAAACTTCCAAGAAAAGCATCGCACTCTTTCCCAGTCCTTCACGTCTGACAATTAGCAAACTGATACTGAAGTATTGGGTTTCTGTTTAAATTAGATGGTGGGAAAATGGCTAACCATTTAAAAACAACTATAGCTATGTAGCTGGATATATATAATGTTTTTCATCAATACATATATATATATATATATGTGTGTGTGTGTGGAAATAATGACTTTGTCATTATTTAAATGCCAAAATAAACTTTAAATATATTGTGTTTTCATAGCCATTGACACTGTTTTGAAAATTTGGATTTGATACTGGTTATAAACAGAATGAGTTAGGATATATTTTTGCAATACACATGCCATGTGTGACATGATAATATAGATATGTGTTCTAGAAACAGAAGCATGTAAAGTTGTATTCTGAATATAAAAACAAAAAACTAATAGTACAAAAATGGCTTCAGGATTATTCTGCTTGTCTGTTAAAAGTCAAAGACTATTTCATCTTGGTCATGTCATTTGTTTAACACAGACAAGTTATTATTTCAGGTGTGTCTGGAGAGCTTAAAATTCTTCTTTTATTTCAAACTTAATAGCCATGGTTTGAGTGTAGATATGTTATATTTGGACCACTTTATGATATAGTAGATATATTTTTAAACAAAGCACCTTAACATTTACTCACATTACACTTCATAATAAAATCTATTTCAATACGGGTAAGAACTGGGCACTACTACTGGTCAGCATGTCGAGTTGTGACTCAAGCCATGACATACACTTCACACTGTCTGCTGTGGCAGTATTATAACCCTGACAGTCAGTACCGTTGTTCATTAAGTTTGTGTATTTGTTGTTGATCGTCAATATCTCTGCTATATGTTTTTGTTAACATACACTGTTAAGCTGCTGAAGCTGTTTTGATTTTTCTAGTTAAGGCTATTAAAAAAGTAGAAGCTACATAAAAAACTAAATATTTGATTAACAAAAATTAGATAAACTCAAGAAATACACACACACACATATATTGTCTCATGAAAAATATAAATAGTTAGATTGAAAGATATAAAAACCATTTAATGGACAGTGAGAAAATTATTTTTGCTTCATAATGAGATAATTCATAGCTCGTGAAAAAAATTATTTAAAAAAAGTGTTATAATCACCAGTGGATTTGACTGCCTATATAATATGTATAAAGTCAAAACCTATAAAAATAATTTTGTGTACTTTACTATTGGAAGAATGTGAACAGTTATAAAGATGTTAGATCTCAAAATAAAGATACTTGCTTTGTAACTTACGGTAGCAAAGTGCCAACTTACATGTAACTTACAGTAGCAAAGTGCCAACTTACATGTAACTTACAGAAGCAAAGTATTAACTTACATGTAACTTACATAGCAAAGTATTAACTTGCAGTAGGAAACTGCCAACTTACAGAGACAAGTGTTAACTTACATGTAACTTACAGAGGCAAGTGTTAACTTACTTGTAACTTACAGAAGCAAAGTGCCAATTTACAAGCAAGTTTAGTGACTAATTATACATATGTAATTCTCTCTCTAGACGAAACAAAATCTTAAACTATTTTAATCTCATGAAGAAGCGAAACAAAAATGAAGAAGAAGATGACAAAGAAGAAGGGGAAAAGAAAACTCAGACAAAAAAGAAAGGAAAAAATGACTTTGTGAGTGATCTCATTATAACTATAGTGTATAAATATCAACTGTAGTCTACCAAAACAAAACACAAACCTTTAGCCATGGAATAACAGCTTTTAAATTTTATGTTCAACTGGCTATAAAAGCAGTCAATTAGTCCATTCTATGTTTACAGTTTAGCATTGATTATCAGTATGTATATTTACTATACTTTTGATTGGTAATGTCTATTTTTATCTAACAGAAAATTTCTGATATGGATGACTGGGTGAATGATTCTGATGTAGGATCTGGAGATGAAGATGATGATGATGAAGGAAAAGCCAGTGATAATGAAAAATCAAAAACAAAGAACAAAAAAAAGAAAGACCAAAAAAAGAAAAAGAAGAAAGAAGAAGACTCTGAGGAAGAAGCTAAAGAGGAAAGTGATGAAGGGGATTTTGATGATCGAGAAGTTGATTACATTACCAACTCATCAAGGTACTGTTTATTGTTTATCTGTAAAGCTATATTTACCAACTCATCAAGATACCATCCATTTTTTATCTGTAAAGCTATATTTACCAACTTATAAAGGTACTGTTTATTGTATAATGTAAAGCTATATTCACTGACTCATCTAGGTACCATTAATTTATTATCTGTAAATCCATATTTACGAACTTATAAATGTACTGTTTATTGTTTATCTGTAAATCTATATTTTCCAGCCCATCAAGGTACTATTCTCTGTTTATCTGTAAAGTTGTATTTACATGCTTATGTTGAGATAATTTTATTTTTTTATTGATAGTTTTTGCACTGGTTGTTTAATAGATTCTTTTATGACACTGATTCAGTTGTTTATAAGGTAGTAAGAAAAAATTGATGGATTTTTAACAGTTCTTTGGCTTTGTAGCTCAGAGGCTGATGTTGAAACGGATGTAAAAGCCACTCAGGAATTAAAAGGAGTTGAAGATGAGGATGCTCTTCGACAGTTGGAAATGTCAGACGATGAAGAGGAAGAAGAAAAAGAAGGAGAGGAAGGAAAAGAAGGAACCCAAGAAGAACAAGCTCCAGAACTAGTTCCTGAGAATAAGAAAAAAGTAAAAGAGGAAAAAGGTGATATGATTTTATTTTCTTTTAAACATGTTGGCTTAACTTTAAATGTCAGTCTTCCATGGTTACATGGTTTTGTTTCTTTTATACAACTTGGCTGAACATAGAATGTCAGTTTTACATGGTTATATGGTTTGTTACTTTTATACAACTTGGCTGAACATAGAATGTCAGTTTTACATGGTTATATGGTTTTGTTTCTTTTATACAACTTGGCTGAACATAGAATGTCAGTTTTACATGGTTATATGGTTTGTTACTTTTATACAACTTGGCTGAACATAGAATGTCAGTTTTACATGGTTATGTGGTTTGTTACTTTTATACAACTTGGCTGAACATAGAATGTCAGTTGTACATGGTTATGTGGTTTTATTTTTTTATACAACTTTGCTGAACATAGAATGTCAGTTGTACATGGTTATGTGGTTTTATTTTTTATACAACTTGGCTGAACATAGAATGTCAGTTGTACATGGTTATATGGTTTGTTACTTTTATACAGCGTGGCTGAACATAGAATGTCAGTTTTACATGGTTATATGGTTTTATTTTTTTACACAACTTGGCTGAACATAGAATGTCAGTTTTACATGGTTATATGGTTTTATTTTTTTATACAACTTGGCTGAACATAGAATGTCAGTTTCACATGGTTATGTGGTTTTATTTTTTTATACAACTTGGCTGAACATAGAATGTCAGTTTTACATGGTTATGT